CTTTTTTTTTCTTTTCTTTTTTTTTTTTTATTATTATTTATGCCTACAGCACCTGGTCTCCCATCCAAGTACTAACCAGGCCCAACCTTGCTTAGCTTCCAAGATCAGACATTGGGCTTGTTCAGGGTGGCATGGCCATAGACCATGGACCGTGGTTCCACTGGGGCACGAACCCAGGACCTTCTGCATGTAAAGCAGACGTGCTAACCGATATACTGTGGAATCACGTCCACCTTTTTCTTGCCTAATTGCTCTGCCTAGTACTTCTAGTACTGTCTTGAATTAAATTGGCAAGAGTGGGCATCCTTGTCTCATTCTCGATCTTAGAGGAAAAGCTTTTCATCATTGGATATGATGTTAGCTGTGAGCTTCTCATGTATGGCTTTTCTTATTTTGAGATACATTCCTTCTATACCTAATTTTTTAGAGTTTTTATCATGAAAGGATGTTGAAATCTGTCAAATGGTTTTTCTGCATCTTTTGAGATGATCATATAATTTTTAGCCTTCATTTTGTTAATGTTGTATATCACATTGATTTGTGCACTATCTATGCATCCCAGGAATAAATCCCACTGGATCATGGTGTATGATCCTTTTAATGTATTGTCAAATTTGGTTTGCTAATATTTTGTGGAGAATTTTTGCATCTATGTTCATCAGGGATAATAGCCTGTAATTTTCTTATTGTGTCCTTGTCTGGCTTTGGTGTTACGTTAATACTGACCATGTAAAATGAGTTAGTAATAAAATAAATAAAAGAGTTTGAGAGGACTTGCTATTAATTCTTTAAATGTTTAGTAGAAGTCACCAGTGAAGCCATCTGGTCTTGGACTTTTCTTTGTTAGAAGGATTTTGATTTCTAATTCAGTCTCCTTACTAGTAATTGGTCTGTTCAGATTTTCTAATTTTTCATGATTCTGTCTTGGTAGGTTGTATGTTTCTAGGTTTCTAGAAATTTATCTAATTTATTGTTATATAATCGTTCATAGTAGTTTCTTAGGATCTTTAGTGTTTTTGTGTTATTTATTATCATGTCTCCTCTTTTATTAATGATTTTATTTGTCTTTTTTTTTTTCAGTCCAGTTAAAGGTTTGTCTCTTTTGTTATCTTTTCAAAAAACCAGCTCTTAGTTTCTTTAATCTTTTTCTATTGTCTTTCCAGTCTCTATTTCATTTATTTTTTTCTGTGATATTTATTTCCTTCCTTTAACCAACTTTGGGCTTATATTTTTGTTCTTCTAGTTCCTTGAGGTTTATAGTGAGGTTGTTTATTTGATATCTGTCTTTTTTCTTAATGTAAGTTGTTATCTCAGTAAACTTCCCTCTTAAAACTGCTTTTGCTGCATCCTATAAGTTTTGGTAAGTGTGTTTACATTTTCATTTGTCTCAAGATATTTTTTTATTTCCTTTTTGATTTCTTCTTTGACCCATTGGTTGTTCAGAAGCATGTTGTTTAATCTCCACTATTTGTGAATTTTTCAGTTATTATCTTGTGGTTGGTTTCTAATTTCATAACATTATGGTTAGAAAAGGTGCTTGATATGATTTCAGTCTTTTTAAATTTATTAAGACTTATTTTGTGGCCTAACATATGGTTTATCCTGGAGAATGTTCCATATGCACTTAAGAAAATGTGTATTCTGCAGCAGTTAGATGCAATGTATTGCATCAGCAGTCCCTAACCTTTTTGGCACTAGGGACCAGTGCACCTATAGGAATCTAATGCCTGATGATCTGAGGTGGAACTGAGGCGGTGATGCTAGCGCTGGGAATGGTCTTCAAATACAGATGAAGAAGCTTCACTCACTCACCTGCCGCTTACCTCTTGCTATGCAGTCTGGTTTCTAACATGCCATGGACCCCCTGCTGTATATGTTTGTTAGGTTCATCTGGTTTAACATTAGTTTAAGTCCAATGTTTCCTTATCGATTTTCTGTCTGGATGATCTATCCATTGTTTAAAGTGTGTTATTGCAGTCCCCTACTATTATTGTACTGCTATTTCTCCTTTCAAAATGTTAATATTTGCTTTTTATAGATAGGTATTCCAGTTTGGAGTACATATTTATAATCGTTATATTCTCTTAATGAGTTGTCTCCTTTAGCATCATATAATGATCTTTGTCTTTTGTTATAGTTTTTGGCCTAATGTCTATTTTGTCTGATAGAGGTATAGTTACTGCACTCTTTATTGGTTTCCATCCCTTTTAGTCTTTTTCTATCCCTTTTAGTCTGTGTGTGTCTTTAAAGCTGGAATGAGCCAGCATATAGTGGAGTCTTGTTTTTATATCCATTCAGCCACTCCATGTTTTTTGATTGGTGAATTTAGTCTATGTACATTTAAAGCAATTATTAATAGGCGTGGATTTACTTTTGCCATTTTGTTAACTTCTTTCTGGATGTTTTGTAGTTCCTCTGTTCCTCTCTTTCTTTCTTCCTTTAATTTAATGATTCTTCGTAGTGGTATGCTTTAATTCTTTTCTCTTTATCTTTTGTATATCTACTATAGGTTTATATTTTGTGGTTACCATGAGGCTTACATTAATACCTTGTAGCTCTAACAGTATTTTAAGATGATAACTTCAAATGCATACATTCTATTTTGACACTCCTGCTCCCCCATTTATGTGTTTGTGTCATAATTTACATCTTTTTGTATTGATTATCATTATTATAATTATAGTTATTTTTAATACTTTTCTTTTAACCTTTATCTGGAGTTATAACTGATTCACCCACCACTATTATAATATTAGTGTTTTGAATTTAACTATATATTTGCCATTACCAGTGAGTTTTATACTTTCATATGTTTTCACGTTACTAATTAGTATCCTTTTGTTTCAACTTGAAGAATTCCCTTTAACTTTTCTTGTAAGGCTGTTCTTATGGTGATGAACTCTTTCAGCTTTTGTTTATCTGGGAAACTACTTATCCTTCAATTCTGAAGGACACCTTTACTTGGCGGTGCATTCCTGTTTGGCAATTGTTTTTTTTTTTTTTCCAGCACTTGGAATATATCATTCCACTCCCTCTGGCCTGTAAGCTTTCTGCTGAAAAATCTGCATGTAGTGACATGGGAGTGTCCTTATATGTAACAAATTGCTTTTCTCTTCCTGCTTTTAAGATACTCTCCTTATGCTTAACTTTTGACAATTCAATTATAATGTCTCTTGGTGTACGTCTTTTTAGATTCATATATTTGGTTTTCTTTGGGCTTCCTGGATATGAATATATTTCTTTCCCCAGGTTAGGGAAGTTTTCAGCTAGTATTTCTTTGAATAACCTTTCAGCCCCTTTCTCTCTTATCCGTCTGGAACCCCTATGATGACTATATTTGTCCCCTTGATGGTATTCCATAAGATCCTTAAGCTTTGTTCACTCTTTTGCATTCTTTTTTCATTTTATTCTCCTGATTGGGTAAATTTTACTGCTCTGTCTAATGTTAGCTGATCCTTTCTTCTGCTTTATCTAAACTGCTATTGAACCACTCTATTGAATTTTTTGGTTCAGTTATTATATTCTTCAGCTGAATAACTTATGTTTGGTAATTTTTAAATATTTTCTATCTTTTGTTGAAATTCTCTCTGTTCATGCTTTGCTCTCCTGTCCTCAGCGAGCATCTTTATGGCTATTATTTTGAGCTCTTTATTGGGTAGATATCTTATCTCCATTCCATTAAGATTGTTTTCTAGAGATTTATCTTGTGCTTTTGTTTGGAACATCTTCCTCATTTATTTGTTTTTTTCTTAACTCTTTGTGTAGGTTTCTGTGCATTAACTAAAACAGGCACATCTCCTAATCTTGACAGATTTGTCTTGTGTAGGAGATCAGTTAGCTTGGCCCAGGCTCCTGGTTGTCTCAAACCTTTGTGAACATCCAAGCTGCTGTCTTGGTTCTTAGTTGCTCACAGTAGCTGAACATGTACCAAGACCTGTCAGTGTCCCAGAGAGGAGGATCTCAGTCAGCACCTGTATGCAAGCTGATTTGAAGCTGTACCCTCAGGCAACAGCTAGGAATGTTTGTAGTTAAGCCCCTTCCAAGAAGAAATCAGGAGATGCATTTTGCCTGCTCCCTCTGCACTGAGCCCAGGTGGTTAGCCACTGGGGGTGAGATGGGGGGGACAGAACAGGGTAGTGATGTTCCTGTACCCATTTAAAACTGTTTCTTTGTTTGCTATGGTCTTGTGGGACTGTGAATGTAAGTTCCATTGGCTATCTGAGCCAGGTGATCCAGGGTCCCGTCCCTTACATGGCAGTGACAAAAATTGGGCTGCCAGATGTGTATACAAGCTCCTTCTAGAGATGCTGGTAATTTGGTTTCATTGTTGAAGCTCATCAGAGGAAGAAGGTGGGGTAATTGCCTACCAGCTACCCCAGGCTCTGGGGAGGATCATAGCCAGCCCCTAGATCCATGCTAAATTAGAAGCCAGAACCTCAGAAAGCAGCTTATAAAGCATGCAATCAAACCCCTTTCAGGGAAAGACTAGGGAATGAGTGTTTTTTGCCTGTTCCCTCAGGGCTGAGCCTCAGAGGGATAGCCACAGCAGATTTTACACGTCCATTAACAACTGTTTCTTTGTTTGCTATAGTTTTGTGTGTCTCATGGACACAAGCCCCATTGGCTTTCAGAGTAGGTGTTTTAGGGGCCCCTCCTTTGGGTGTTCCTCTTAAAAGCTGGGGTTCTAGATGTGCAGTTCAAACTCTTCGTCCTTAGGTCGAAGCTGGGAGTTGGGAGTTCCCTCCTACATTATGGTGTTGTGCCAGAGATGAGTTTATCGTAAAAGTAGGTCTCAACCTTTTCTACCTATTGCAATGTGGGTATTTTCTCATTCGCCCAATATGGAAGAGTCACTCAGCTAGTTTCTGGATTTCTTTCAGAGGGAATGGCTCTGTGTACAGCTGTACATTCAGTGCATCTGAAAGAGGAGGAAAATTGAGGACCCTCCTATTTGGCTATCTTGGTCCCTCCTCAGCATTTTTATTTCATTTTTTTTCCAGAAAGAACTAGAGAAACAGAAGAGAATTAAGAGGAACCAGCATCTGGAAGCAATAGCCAAAGACCATTATGAAAGGGTATTACTAAGAAAAAAAGGTCTGGAGCCCTGGAAGAGATTGAGAATGCAAAGCAAGCAAAATGTCCAGGTATAGTGTCACACTCTTACTCTCCAAAATTAGAAAATGGACTTTTGAAATAGGATTAACACCCAGTTAGACTTTGGGTGTTGTTTGGTGATTTAAAAGCCAAAAAGAGAAATGAATTGAGAGTTTATATTTATTTGTGTTAGATAAGAGTTTATATTTGGTCTTCCAAGGTGAGGAAAGACTTCTGTAATTGAATAGGTTGGAAAAGCTAGAGTAAATTTTTGCTTAGAGACCTCCAAAGTAAGACAAGAGAGGCCTCTCTCACTTTTAGCAGGGTTTAATAAAGAGAAAAATAATTACCGTAAGATCTGTTAGTCAGGTTTCTGCTACCGTAAAGCTACATAGCAAACAGCCCCCAAATATCAGTGGCATATAACTCAAGCATTTATTTCTCACTCACATGTCTAGACCAGTTGTGGATTGGGTTCAAGTCTCTCTACAGGCTCTATTTTTGGCTCCAGCAGTTATTCAGTGCATGCTCTTCACTTGGCAAATGTCTGAGGTACAAAGGCCCAAACTTGTCATATAAACCTATATGAAACCTCTACTTGTATCATATTTACTAACATTCTGTTGGCCAAAGCAAGTCATAAGGCCGAACTGAAGGTCATTGAGGGGTTAAAGAGGCTCATCTTCTCCATTGGGAGGCACTGTGAAATTACACACAAAGCATATGGGTGTGTAATCTGTTATAGGGAACAGTAATCCACTCTGCCACACAAAGATATATGAAATCAAATACCATTGAAACTCAGATTTATCCAGTGTGTAGAACAGGGCATTCAAATAAATGATCATGAAGCTCAAAATACATAAAGTATTATCATTCGAATTCTAGTTAATAATAAGCTCAGTAATGTGTACCAGTTATGACCACTCTTATTTACATGTTTCACCAGGTTAATACTGAAAAGTAAGACTAGTATCTTTGGTTGCGAAAACCAGGTTTAAAAATGAACAATAATGCTTCATATCATAAGAATCCCACTAAATTAAGTAATGCTGCAAGTTTTACCTCTGTGAATGTGACTAAGGCTGCTTTTTTTCCTCCCTAGCTAACCTATTCACCCTTCACTCTCTTTGTTCTCTTCTATTTTCATACCTTCTTTTCATCTTCCCTAAATGCCCTCCGCACTATTTTTCCTCTGTCCCTAATTTTTTTGTCCTCAGCCTTTTTACCAGTGGTTCTGGCACTATTGAGTATTCCAGATCAGCTGAGGGGGCCAATCTGTAATGGTTGGGCCTAAGGGCAAGAGGATCATCCTGTTTGGAAGCCTGGATCCATCCATTCCCCAAGCCGTTGCTGCTTTGCTTGAGTTTTTCCTAGTAATGAGATGGGGAGGGCTGACTCCTCAGTCTTCTGTGTGAATTAATCTGGAAATGAAATATGAAATTTGAATTGAAATTTGCTTCTTATATACTACCACAAAGATTGGTCTTATCAGATAGTTTGCTCTCCAGTTGAGCACTCCTAGTTTTATCTGGCTTTTATCAAATTCTTTTTTTTTCCCCCCCTCTTTTTCATCTCCCTCCACCTCCCACTTCCATCCCTGACCTACAGATGTTGCCATCTCCCCTTAAGAACTAGATCTCTGAAGGCAGGGCGTCTCCTCCCACGTGCTCTTGGTGCGCACCTGGGGCCTGGCCCGTTGCTCTACCTGGGGCACGAACCCAGGACCTTCTGCATGTAAAGCAGACGTGCTAACCACTACACTATGGAGCCACTCCTATCAATTTCTTTATTGTTAATTATTAATATACAAAGAAAGGAAAGGTGGACAGGGAATGGAAAGGCTCTTAAATTCTTATTAGCTCTTCTTTTTTGGTCCTTGTTTTTGATTGAGTAAAATCAAGAAAGATATGAAATTTAGAAACAAAATTAAATCTATGAGTGAATAACCAAATCAAATTTTTAGAAATTTAATCATAAGAATGTAAAAATAGGAACAAAGTTTGAGCTCAAAATAAGTTATAGGCTTTAAATATAGAAAAGCCAAATTAAAATAAAAACAGAAATCACAAATCTGAAACTGTGATCAAAAAAAAATCCAAAATTTCTTGTTCATAAAACCACCTGGAGAACTTATAGAAATGCATATTCCTGGTACCACATCCAAATATTTTCAGTAGTTCTGAGTTGTTGGCCAAGGGGATGGGGGTGTCAGAGAATCTGTATTTTTTAAAAGTAGCCTAAGGGATTCAGATACAAGTGGTCTGGGCACCGTATTTTGAAAATCACCTCCCTAGTTCATCAGTGTATTTGTTTCCTCTTGCTGTTGTAACAAATTACAACAAACCTTAGTGGTTTAAAACAATGAAAATTTATTATCTTCAAATTCTGGAGGTCAGAAGTCCAAAATCAGACTTACTAAGGTCAAAGTGAAACCAGAGGGCAACCAAGTCCGGGCTTTGTGCTGCCTGAGCTGCTCAGCAAAGTGTTTATCGTCAGAGCCCCAGTGATCTGAGAAGGCAGCAGGTTAACACCTTCAAAAACTGCCTTCCTTTCTCAGCGCAGCTTGGAGTATTTAAGGGAAAATCTGGGTATCATTGCGGGGCTACGTGGTGGTTCGGGGAGTCTGCTGTGCTTCACGGCACCTTCCCCTCTGGCAACATGCTCCAGCGGAGTGAGCACCCAGGAACAAAGATGGGAGTCGTCTGGAAAGAATGCTAGACCATAAAGATTGTGATCAGTAAGCATAAGAGCATTAATCATCTTTCAGGGCAACTCTCTATGGCAGGGAACATTCCAAGCTCTGGGTCAAGCCGCAGGGGACAATCTATTGTTAAGCTACAGGGCAAGGAAAAGTGAGACCAGGGCCACTGTGAGGCTTCTACTATGGGGGTCCCAACTGGGCCCTTCTTCAAAACTGTGAGCAGGGCAAGTTCTTTCTGGAGGTTCCAAGGGGAGAACCTGTTTCTTGCCTTTTTTAGCTAGCAGTCACCTGCATTCCATTGCTCAGAGCCTCCTCAGTTCACTGTAATCTCTTTCTGATCTTTCCACTTCCCTCTTATAAGGACCCTTGTAATTACATTTAGGGCTCTCATATAATCCAGGATAATCTCTTCATTTTGAGGTCCTTCACTTAATCACATCTGCAAAATCTCAGTCATCATGAAAGGTCACATATTTATAGGTTCCAGGGATCAGGACCAGGCCATTCCTGAAGGGCCACTTATTCAGCCTATCACCACAAGATAACAGTCCTCTTCATCTCTTTCAATTTGTGGCTGAGGGAACTGAGCCCTGGAGAAACTACTTGCCTTAAGTTACACAACACATTGGTTACAAAGCTACAGTGGAGCTCAGTACCATCTTCCTCCAAGAATCCTGCCCAGTTCTGGCACGCCTTTGTGCTGTGTAGGAATCAGAGGTGTATGTCGGTGTCAACCACCAGTTGGAAGTAAAAAAAATAAAAAAAGCTTTGGAGGACACTAAGAGAAAGGGATAGCTATGTCCATCAGAGCTGGCTTCCAGGAAGGGGTAGAAAAAATTAAGAAGAAGGGTCCCATTAAACAGTTCTTGGCTTGTTTATTATACTTTTTTCAGAAGGGTTATTTAGCATTTTCCCTTAAACTCAAATGTGCTTGTCAAACAAGCAACAACAAAAAATAACTTCCACGACTTTATTATTTTAAGTAAAGCTTTACTGAACCAAAATGTTAGCCAAAAGAAGACCTGTCTTGGGGCTTGGAGTCTAAACAACCAGCAATATGATTAGGTAGAAAAGACAACATGTCCATCATCTCAGAGTTTTGCAAGCATTTATATACATCAAGTACAGGTGAAGGGGAAGAATGAGACAGTCTGAAAGAGAATGTTCATTAGCTTTATAGGCAGAGGGGTGGGAAGTGAAGTGGGGCCAGCTCTGGGATAGGGACAGGGTCCGAATTCAATTGGCTGTGGGGAGCAGTCCAGAAAACACACGCGAAGACAATGAGGCTCCTGGAGTTAGACGGTGTGCCTGGCTGAAATAATCTGCCTAAATAGCCACCCGGAAATTAATCCAAAGTTCCAACAGGCAGTAGAAGGAATGTGAGCAGTTTTTTGTTAGCTGGCCAGCAGCCATTAACAGACTAACAGTTCTGTCTCTTTCTCTCTCACTTTCTGTCCTCTGTAATTTAATTTAGAACATCTCAGAATTTTCTCATCATGCTGTATTCCATTTATTCCAACAACCATTTTCAGAATTTCTAAGGAATCTTCTGAGAATCTTTTTCTTCCTGGTTCTGTTTTCCCAGAGGATGAAGAGAAGGGAGGGGAAGAGGCTGTGTGTTTCTGGCTTCCCTTGCCTTTTGGCTTCTAGACTGGGAGGAAGAAGTCAAGACAGGCAGCTGTCTCAGGTGCCACAGAGACCTCCTGTGATGATCATTTTGGCCAAGAAGTATGACTGCCAAAAGACTCACTAGGATCAATAACATTCACAGTGCTGGGTAGCTAGACAAAGCTTAGAAAAATGTGTAATTATCTAGAGAGGACTAAGAGGGAAGGATTTTTCTCCTATCTCTTGAAAGACTATAACGGTTACTTTTTAAAATCCATAAACTCTGAGTTATATGTTTATTTTGAAAGAATGATGCTCTTAGCCTTTTAAGTTGGTAAGACATTGAATTATTCATCACGTTATTTTTCTATCAAATGCTTTTGAGGTTTATTGACAATGTCTGAATTTCAGTGCTGGTGACAGCTCATTCTACAAAACTAATTGAAAGTATTGGCATCCCTCAATTAGACCGTGGTTAAGTCCATAAAAAAGAAAGATTTGTTATAGAGTTGCTGTCTGAGCTCCAGGAGAACAAACTGAGAAATTTGCCAGCCACCCACTTTAAAACTCTGTGCAAGTGAAATAATGGCTCTGGAGGTTGTTTATTCCACTTCCCTAATAACCAGCCAGTTACTGTAGTCTTCATGGAGTGAGCATTGAAAGGCTAAGCATGATAGAAATCTAAAATAGGATCAACAGTCAAAGCTTTTGGAACATAGGTTATGTGTCCTTAAGATTATTCTCTCTAGTAACTGCCTACATGGGGTTTGTAGCATTTTTTGCCAAGGGAATGTATGTTTCTTTAAATGATTTAAGATATAAGAAATAATTTCCTTTTTCTTATTTAAAAAATTGTCCAGGTGGCGGAAGAACATCACTCTTTGGCCCTACAGAGGAAATGCCTGCTAACCTGGTTCCAGTGGAGTCAGGAAAGCCTGATTAGGAAGACGGCTCAGGCTGATCAGTTTTATTCCCAAACATTGCTTAGGAGAGTCGTCCAGAGCTGGCTACAGGTAAGGCCACAGGGAAGAGAGCTTTAAATACATGTCTCAGCTCAATCCTGTGTAAGAAAATTAAATGCAATGCAGAATATCCATAGTCATTGTTTTTTCAAGAATATAAAATAATCCATCTAATTCATTGCTCTGAAAGAAAAAGTGTCAGATAAATTTTGTTAGTATAAAATCTTAATCGTTTCTTTTCACACAGTGTTCATCTTGATAAACTATAATGTATCGTATCATCTTTTGCTCAAGTGATTTTGCTAGAAACCTATCCCCTCCATCTTACAACTGTTTTTACCACTCTGGTTCCATTATTTTTTTTAATACATTACAAAGGATGTTATCTTGTCTGCCGTGTTATCTTTTTCTCCTTATCCCTCCAGTGTCCTTTGTTTCTTTGTTTTGTGTTTTTGATTCTCTCTTTTGTACTATTTGTTCTTATTCTTTGTGACATAATTTGTCTCACTTCTGTTCTTTTCTTCATCTCCAGTACCTGACTGATCTAGAGGAAGAAGTACGAAAACTGTGTGTACATTTTCTTCAGAAAAAGATTTTCAGGGCCTGGTTTAACATGGTCAGGGAGGCCAAGATCGATTTTCAGAGCAAGCAGAAGGTTGCGGTAGAGCATAATGACAGGTGAGGTTTTGTTCTCCGAGGAAATTCACTCCCTGACTTCACAATTGCTCTGCACTATGTTCTATGCCTTGAATACGTCTGAAAAGATGAAGTGGAGGCTAGGAGAGCTGGGTACATGGAGATACCAGGCAGGAGTGGGAATCCCAGAAGGTATATATTCTTTGTTAGTCACACAGGTTTGAGTTCAACGTTTGTAGCATTATTGTAAAATATAACACAAATATAGCAAAGTGCTTAAATCACTCAAATTCAGCTTAATGAATTACTACAAATTGGACACCCATGTCCCCACCACTGAGGTCCAGAAGTAGGCCCCCAGAAGTCTCTATTGGCTTTTTCCCAATCGCAAGCCTGACCCTTCTCTCCTAAAAATAAACTACTCTCCTCTTCCTGATTTTTATGGTGAACATTTCCTTGTTCGCCCCTTTTTTTAACTTTTACCTTCTAAGTATACAGCTTTCAAGGCTATAGTTTAGTTTTGCCTGGTTTGGAACTTTATATAAGTAGAATCATAATACTGTATGCCATGTTAATATTTATGATACAGTCATCTTATTTAAGCTAGTCTCCTTGGGGAATAAGTTATTCCATATCAGTAAGTTTTCCTTTGTTTTGTAATCTTAAGCATTTCGGATAGAAATGTGCTAAATTTCATTATGCACTTCTGAAAGTAAACAAATGAACTGTCCTTTTCGGTGACTGGGTGTCTGTCATTCCTTATGAGCATAATGTTATGAACAGATGTCTCCACATTCCGGTGTGAAGATTGTTATATAGGTATAGAAGTCGTGTCACCTTCTGACAATTTCCTTAACTACCTAATGGAAAAATAAAAACCTATCAATCACTCTTATCCACTTTTGTTGCTTTATTTTCTTTACCTCAGTTATTGGTCTGAATTCTAATTGTGATTTCCAAACCTTTTATATAATGTTTTATGCACATAAGGATGATTCTTACTTATAGTTTTTAATGTCCTTCAGATAGAAAGCCAACTTTTCCTCAGTATTTCACATTTTTCCTTTTTATTCTTAAAGGAGGATTCTCTGGATCACCTTTCAGACATGGAAGAAGTTTGTAAAATTTATGAAAGAGGAAAGAGTAAGAGAAGAAAGGCGAGAGCAACTCCGTAAGAAGGTAGCTGAAATTCTTCCAGACTTCCAGGTGCTGGCACCACCATGACTTAGCTGTACCAGCAGTCAGCTATTTGGTCCTTGTGTAAGAGGAGTCCTCGGTGTGCAGTGGACACAAGTCAGTGCAGTGCTTAGGATGGGAATGTCCATCAGTCCACAGTATCTATATGTTACTGCCACCCACTCGCATGTATGTATCTGCATATGCCTGACTTAATGTTGTCACTTAGTTCTTGGATCAAGGAATTATTTTGTAAATTTGTACTTGTTTTATTTCTCTTGAACTGCTCATCAGTGCACTAAAGCATTTATCACAGCATGATCATCCAAAGGAAGTTTGGAGCCCCATTGTTCAAATATATCCTATATATTTTTAGCATCTATAAACTTTAAAAAGGACAAGTGTTTGCTTGCCTGAGCTTGTGGAAGAAAATGTGTCCTTATAGCTTAACATGAGTTGTTGACAAAAGTAACTTTAATTAAATAGAAATTAAAAGTAGTGAGTACTCAGAAAAGGAGTTATGTCATCTAGTACATTAGCAACAAGCATCCTGCCACACTGTCCTTTTTTGCCCACTCCATTGAAAAAATCACCTGTCAAAATGCAATAGCTGCAAAGGGCAACAGTGTAGCCCAATTTCACAGAAATTGGGGCACCAAAGATACTTCTCTTCAGTGCACCTTGATAAGCAGGAATTCCAAAAGCTAATGATTCTATCAAAGGCAGTCCAGCAATTTGTTAAAATGTATATTTATGCTCCCAGCTGCAACTTCTAAATAATACTTGATCTGGCTTCCAGTCCTCAGCTCAGATTGATTTATATCTATCAAGATATTTATCTTGAATTCAAAGAATGTTTTAATCTTTAAGGTGCTAAAGACTATAAAGACAAAATACTCCCTTCTGTGAACTGAATTACCTGCTAGAAAAATTTTTTTCATTATAAAACATATGCTTATTATAACAAATTCAAGTAGTAGATAAATGCACAGAGTAAAATGAGTAAGTCCCTTGCAGCCCTGAGGTAACCACTTTTACTTGGTAAGTTAAAAATCTGAGTTGGCAAAGTAAAATTCTTTGTTCAATGAATTGTTACCATCTCTTACTTCCTAGAAGGGGTGTCCAGCTACACCACCTGCAAAATGACTTCTGTCCTTTTCCTATAGAGGATATGTGAGAATATACTCAGAAATAACACAACAACCTAAATTGAACTTTATTTTTCAACAATATCCCTGTCCCTACACCTTTTATTTTAACGTGATTATACAGTTATCATCTAAAAACTCTTAGGACTTACGGCCACTCAAGAAAATGGGACTAAAAGTAACTCATATTTAATCTTTTCATCTACATCACTGTCTGTTTATACTTAACTATAGTACATTTATAGAATATTCGCTGATATTAGCACCCAGAAATCAAATACTAATTTTACTTTAATACCAAGCCTGTAGATAGGGTAAATCCCTTAAGTAAGCATGCCAGAGTCCTAAATAAACCCATAAAGCTTGTTTTCTCTTTTGAGCTTTATTTTTATTTTGCCTCAAGCATCATTTAGAAATTGAATCTTTAGCAGGCCATATTATAATTAGTCCAGCAAGAACTTTTCACCCACCTATCGAACCTTCTTAAAGAGACATAGGAAAATAACAGTAAATGACCTATGTTTCTTGCTGGGCCGTCTTAAAGATATGATTTGAAATGTTACTGCTAACAAAATGCCCAATGAGCTGTATCCCTGCCTTACAAAACTGGAAAAGAAACCATGAGGAAAATGATAGGGCTAAAGATAGTTTTAGGTCCACAGGCTGGGGACATCTAGGTAGCCAGAAAGACAGCCTAGCTATAATGCAGACTTTTCTTCAAACAAGAGTTCAGGAGACACACTAAGAAACACCAGTAATTTCTGTAAAGAAAGCACTTTATTTTCCATTTAAATGACTTGGTCACAGTACATTATTTTACATAAATGGCAGTAATTTTTTAAATCACCATTTAAAAGGCCTTGTGTCAGAGTCTGAGGTGATAAGAAAATATGAATACAAGTAAAAAACAGTGCAAAATGTTTAGCCCGCAGCTTCCAGAGCTGGCTTCAGAAATCCCTTTTAATGTTGCTGGGCTAGTTACATTAAATATTAAGTTTAATATTAAATAAATATTCCTGGGTTCTTTTAGTCCAACATCTGACCCAGAAACATAATCAAACGAAAAGGCTTAAAAGCCCCGACAATTCAAACCATCAAATCACCCAGACCATTGGGTCTCAACTAGTTGAGCTTGCAAGTTCTATAACATGGGATATTTTCAGTGACACTATCTGAAGAAATACAGGATTTTAGTTTCATCAATAACTAGAACGAACAGACTAGACCTAGTTTTAAAGCTCTGCCTTTAAAGTATGAATTTTCTAGAAGTGAAATGTGCCATCTGGAAGGCTAGAGTAGTAATAAGTTACGAGCCCAAAGCAGAAATAGCTGCAACCTCTAGAAATTTGTCTTCATTAACCACTCAGTCTCTTTGGCCTGCTGCTGATACTACAGCGAAACACTTAGTACCAACTGAAGTAAGGATAATTGTCCATTAGCAACAGAATTAAATTTAGCTGATTTTACAAAAGTTTATACTAATCAGAGCAAACAGCTACAAGAACATACCGAATTTTATTCAGCATTAAATTAAGCACAGCTTTCATTCTCCTCTTGCATCACCTTTGCAATGTTTAATATAAAATGCTGTTGTCGAGCTGCTGCTAAGAAAACCAGATTCTAAGCAGGTGCCTCAAGCAAAAGTCTCCATCAATTGCTTATTTGAGGGAATTCTTTTTTTTCTTTTAATTAATTTTTTATAGTGACATTGGTTAATGAAATCCAATAAGTTTCAGCTGTACCCTTTAACAGTAAGAAGTTCTCCTTAAAATGCAGGGTACCACAATATGGCTAACATTAAGTTAAGTCATATAAAACTACTTACCTAGTTTAAAGAGACTCTTAAACTTGACAAACTATTAATTTTTAAACATCCTCGTTAAAATTGTGCTTCTAGATATAATATTTTTGCTTATATTAGTTGAGTTTCATAATAAAAATCTAATGTCCTACCCAGTGGAAATATATCTATTAAGTAGATGGTCAGTATAACAGAGAACCTTACTGGCACTGTGTTTTCTGGCAGTGGAAGATCCTAGTTTAGAAAATTTTCTCTTGCAAAAAATATTTGAAGTACCAAGGACTATTGCATAAGAGAAAGTCTGTAGCAGTCTCTGTGCTGGGCAGATGGTACAATGGAAGACAACGATTACTTCATTCACGAAAGGAAAACACTACTTGGATAGCAAAGATCTACAGTATCCTACACACAGACACAGAGGTGGCTAAGGTGAGACAAGAAGCACAGTGTCCCTAAAACACACTTAAGGCTCAGTTTCAGCAGCATCAGAAAAACCTACCAAAGAGGCATTGTTGACAGTCATTTCATTTCAGGTGGGCCCTTCCATAACCACAAGGTACTCTTTGGAAATCGTAAGAAATATTTAAACACTGAAGGATTTTCTCCTTTCGTGCAATCCTGATCCTTAACCTTTCTCCTTTTAATCTTTCAAATGGACCCATTTCTTCTCCCCAGGTATAGTACACAGGAGCATGACAGTAATGCTAATTAGAATACAGTAGATCGTTTACTAAGCTCCACAGCCAGTATGTTTATTAACAGAGGCTGAGTCTGTGGGGGCAGAGAAGAAGACCCACTTGCCTGAAATTATGTTGCGGGGAGGAGGCTGGCTGACAGCTCTGCAGATCAGTGCCCTGTGGCTACCACCACCACGTTTCTCTGGGCCTCACCTTCTCACAGAAGCTTTTTCCTTTAAAATGACAAAATCCTCCCAGTAGTTCCCCATCACAAAGAGCTTAAAAGTCTAGGAGTCTAGGCCAAGGCTGTTCCGGAGCCTAAAGAGCACTCACGGAGAGACCCTTGTTTTCTCTCCTTTTGGTGCAAGTACTTCCGTAGGCTTTTACTCTCCGACAAAACCATTGAGCTTGTCAAAGGTTTGAGCTTTCTTCTGTAACATGCTGATCGTGAAGTTCTCAAGGAACTTAAAACAAGAATCTTAATTCCAATAATCCAAAATAATATACAAGAAGACCTTATCAAAGTGAGGGACTGAGTTGCCCCATCCAGGTAACACTATTAGGCGTGGGTGGTTATAAAGATGGTGATCATTCCTAATTCTCTCAAATGAGTCTGGTCTTTCAGGCACGACTCATCTTCATTACATTATGGTTTGACTGTTTTTAAAGATTTGGCAAGAGGCTAAAATTACTGACTTCTAACATTTCTGTGAATATTATCAATTGCTAGACAATCAGAGTTGGCTATACAGAGGTGGCATTCAAGAAACAACAACCAGAGATTTCTGGCCACATGTGCTGTCCTTGACATTATTACTGTCTCTCTTATCTCAAACCTATACAGAAAGGAATTAGTTATATCAGATCTAATGTTAATTCCAAATGAATACTTGACTCTGGGCCAGGGAGAGTGCATCACTGTAGAAACCACAGCCTCTGCTAACACCCCCAGACTTGCTCTTTGGCTCATCACAAGGGAATACGGAGCCTATCACTTGTTAAACAAACCATCTCTGAGGAAAGCAACGAGAAGCTGTCTTAAGGACAGCCTCAATTAATGGAAGGACTAAGGATGGTGCTAGCTGCAGAGGGCAGAGCTGCAGGAAGTAGCACTATGTCCTCTCAACATTTACAAATCTCGTTACAGCAGCATGCAGAGAAAGACTGAAAAGCCTGGCAATATTTTCCCTATATTAAGCTACAAGCCAAGGCAAATTTAAGGACTCGTGAATTATTGTTGGGACATACAAGTACAAAACCAAATATTTCAAGCGAGTGTTTACCCCATCCAAAATTGCCTCATCTTAAACCCATAGCAGCATAGACCCATTCTATATAAATATTTAATCCTTTATACATTTTCAGTTTTGAGATATGATTGAAGAAACAACTTGATATTTTTGGAAAAGCTAAGGAAGAACAGTAATTCATTAATTAGTGAAAACCACATATACCCTGTTTTTTCTCTCCCAGTGAGATACTTTTATCTAGTGAAAGGTGAATGAGAAGTAATATATAAGTTAAGTGGGAAGATGTAAATCAACTCCTCAAAGAGTCCATGCCAGAATAACGTGAATGCCAGAAAATGGATTATTACAACTTAGTGCTGTAACTGACAGCATTTCAATTACATAAACAAAAAAATCAAGCCCTTGATATTAACCAGCCACCATACTCAGGAAAGAGAATAAAGTGTTCCCTGTAGGAATGTCTGTCCTCCTCTTCCAGCCATCGTCACAGTGTGGCTAGCACCTTACCAGGTGAGACATGGAAAGAGGAAAAAACATTAATGCCTACTGGAGTTATTTAGAGTAAATATAAACAATAAATTCCTAAGAAATAAGATAAATATAAGAACTCATCGCCTATACCCGTGACCACTGGTACATTATACCAGAGATCATTATAATTGGTATCAACTGTCCTTTCAATATCCAATGAAAATGCAAATCCATCCATCTGGTCATCTTCTACCCTGTTTGAGTAGTTAATAAGAGAAATTCCTGCAACTGTACAACATGGTATTTGGGGATCTTTTTTTCACTCTGAAATGTTGAAAACAGATTAATAATATGGGCTTCAATATTCTGACCTACCAACATTTTTCTCAGTCTTGGGATTTTCCTAATAATACTTCATACATCTCTGGTGCTTTAAGTGTCTTTCAGTGCTTTTCACATACCTCCTCTGTCATGTGACCCTCATAACAGCATTGTGAGGTAGCCAGGATAGGCATCAGTACCCCACTTTACAGAGGAACCTGAGACTTGGGAAAGTGACTCAACTAAGGGTCACATGGCTATTAGGAATTAAAAGAGGGACTAGAACCTATTCTAATCCAAAACTCTTTCTCCCATACTAATGGATGGAATTGCTTCTATTAATTTGTGCATTAGCAATCCACATCATTTTCAGCGTCTGGCGATTTAGTTAACAAGGTGACTGGAAAGGAATGGCTCTACTTTTGCTGCTTCAGTATAAACAGCTCTTAAGTTGTGAAGTCAGAAAAATTAATTTCTTCTCAGTCCAGTCTCTAAACCTGAGCATGGCCCTATGGCGCCTTTAAGAAACCAGGGATAAAAACAAACATCCTGCATGGACACTGAAGTGTACAATGGAAGGGAGCAGAGGGAGGAGCCATCCCTCACACCGTACAGAAGGCACTTCAGACAATGTCCTCAGCAGGGTGGTGGAATGGGTGAGTGCCCAGGGTGGAGAACTGGTGCCAGTTCCGCAGGAAGCCCCTATTGTACTGGCCTGTGTCCACGATGAGTCCACAGAGGAGCCGGCGCCCCGTCTTCTGTCTCAGTGCCTGCTGGACTTCCCTCTCAGTCACATTGTAACTGATGTTTATCAGCTGGATCAGGAAGATGTAGGCCATGCCTGCTGTGATGATCACAGAGTACCACACACAGGTGAAGCACAGAGCCGAGCTGGGAGGGAAGAATGGACTGGTCAGGGCTGCCGATTTTTCCACATTCAGAAAGCTGTCACTGTTGTGACATTTTTACACATGAAGTACTTTGGCACCTTCCTCAATTATTCCACTGGAAGATACTTTTCTATCCTCAAAACACCAATAAGCTGCTTAACTTATGGCTATTAATTGACATGTTTTATTTCATAATTATTGGTGCCTCTTTTTCTAGTATGTTTTCCTAGTATAGCAAGGACTATTTTTTTGCATTTTTGTATTCTCCATACAACCAACACACTGCCTGACAATGGCATTCAAAATCTGTTTGTTAAATGAATGAATAATTCCTAACTTCTTCCTAACCCAGGTGAAAACAAAGGCACCACAAGGCTGCTACAGACATCTCAAGGAAGCTGTGGGTGGGAACTCGGGAACAGTGCTAAAATTCTTAATTTCCATTCTTTTTCAGTCCTGTGATGAGCACAGATAAGGAGACAACTCCCCAAACTAGAAGCCCTTTACTTGTAAGATGTGTAGAAGCACCATTACATTTCATATTCAACTTCTTAAAGCCAAACAGAATCACACAGGACAAGAAAGCTCCTTTCAGCTTGTTAATAAGATTGTGAGGAGAGGTTACCAATTAATGATTACTTTTCATTCAAAGATTTGCAGTGAGTTAGATGGAAATAAATTTATTCAGAATCTTCATTTCCTAAGCCAAAAGGGACCTCAGAGATGATTAAATCACTACAAACATGAGGAAAGCCGAGGTCCGGCTAGGAGGCATGAATCACCTGTACAGAGCAGTAAGAACCGATGGCAGGACTATGTTCCTCATTTCATTTAAGTGACCCACATGAAGTCTACAAAACTCATGCTTTGTAATATGCCCTGCTTTCGGACATTTACAACCTACCAAGAATAGTAATTACTGAAGAATTTCAGTGTTACTGAAGAATTTCATAACCTACTAAGACTTTCAACAGAGAGAAAAAAGGAACTTAGCCTAAGGAGTAGAACCAGTCTATTGCAAGAATACCCATAAACGTCTGCGTCTACAATGGCAATGGGGAGATCTATCCACAGACTAATACAAACACCTGCACAGTGGCACTATTAGATAAAGCAGAGATTGTTCTGAAAACAAAGTGAGAAGAAAGAATAGCACCATGGAAGCAGAGCTGTCCCAGCTAAGACAGGACCTCAGACAGCACAGAGTACCCACGTCAGAAGAAAGGGTGGAGGGGAGGGAACAAAGAACACGGGGAGCCTGTGGCTTTCAGGGGAGGCGGCTGCACGGGCCAAAACTGAAAAATCCCAGCTTCTGCCAAGGTATGGAGATCTTCATAATATAGAAACGTGCGCGCACTAACAAAGCCAAAGGAAATTTGACCTAGATACCACAGTAATCATGAGTGGTGATTTTTCTTTAAAAAAAAAAAAAAATAGAACAGAAAAAATCAATAGAGATTAAACAGAAAAAGAAAGGTTGTAGAGACTGTAAGCACTTCACAAAAGGGTCAGAGGCAGTAAAATAAGATTGGGCTAAAAAGCTCCTGAAAGCAGCAATAAAGTAAGGAGTTCCCTATTTATGACAAAAATGGACCACATACATACCCTGGGACTGCTAGTTTATTTGGTTTAGTTTCAATGTCACTTGCTTGGGCATCTGAGTGGTCATTTGATCGTGCAAGTCTCTGATTAAGCCTGGCCCTACTTTACAGTACTAGTTCCCCACTTTTAAGGGTCAGTGATCCTTTGGACATCACCCTAGAAAAATGCACCTATCCACTGCATAATTTTGTTGGCAATTTCAGGGATACCCAGCAGCCCCATAGGCTGTCCTGTTTTGGCTGAGAACTCCTAACCCAGCAGCGAATCACAGCCCCTATCATTAATGGCTACATCCCTTCCCTCCTCCATGGGCCTCTGTGCTGTGGTATCCACATCTCACCTGTAATTTGCATAAACTCCAGGACAATAGAAGAGAGCTGTGAAGACACTTCTATCTCTACAAATGGTGTCCAAGGTCAGCGTGATGCCGTACACCGAGGTGAGCAAGAAGATCGAAAGCGCAAGTATAAATGCTTGATGATTTGATTCTCCGACACAGCTATTTATCCTCAAAACAGCATAGGGAGGAAAAAAGCAAACATGTTTTAAAAGAAGTTCTCTATATAACTCACATAATAAAAAAGCTTTTGAAACAGGAATCGTGTGAATTTCAGTTATTAAAAAGTATGTTCTCTTTATTTTTCAGTTTTAGGGAATTAAAAACTTGTCCACTGAGAGATGTAGTCTTATATTTTCTGCTCTTTGCAAAGTCAAATCATATCATTAGTTTAAGGACAAAACTAAGTAAAAAGCAGAACTGAGCTGATAAATCTTTCTAAATGTTAATAAGTCTATTCCCCAACTGTAAAAAGAGTTAATATTGTAATCACCACGATAAGGAAAGGGTGATATCAGAGTTATGAAAACTTAAAGTGCTAAATCAGAAGTATTACACAGTATGGGAAAATGTTAAATTTATATTAATAAAAAGCATCCCGGAAGGTTAGAAACATGGAGAACACTTCGATGATATGCAAACTACACGTCAGATATCAAGAGTCTGTGTCACAGCCATTTGTAGGGCAGGATGTACAGGGCCACGGGGATGCCCCACTGGGCAGAGATCTTTTGGGTGAGGCTGTCAGACCTTCTGCAAACCAGCACTTGTAAATGGGCCACACACACACACACAAATTAGTGACAGAAACAGAAGTGGAATATCTAAAAATGAAAATCACTGTTTACTCCCAAAGACAAAGCCCCAGAAAAGAGCTGTCCCTGTACATGAGCCCCGCACTTGAGATTCACCCCGATGTTCTCCTGGCCTTTCTGTGTCCCACCCTCTCCAACATCCCCTTCTGAGGGGGATGTATGCTAAATAACCAGAATCCTAGCCATAAAAAGCATAATTAATTGACCATGACTGCCTTAAGGCAAAAAGCTGCAAACATGCTACTTACAGCAGTCACATCTTGAATTAATTACACCCCCTTTAGTTTAAGATTTACTCAGTAAAGCTGCAATGTTATCTTTAACATTTGCACTTTATATCTCATGGGCCTTACGTGTCCTCATTTGTCCCTGGTCAGCATATTGGTGCCAAAAAAGCACATCTCTCTGCCAGTAACTAACAGGAAGTTATCTGGTAAGGCCTTACCAATACAAATTAGAAATCATCGGTAGTTATCGAAATGATTAAGTTTGCATGGTGAAAGGACAGAATTACTTAAAAATACGGAAACATTTTCTTGAAGTCTGTTCAAAAGGAACAGCACAAGAAAACAGACCTATACTGATTCTGACGAATTCCTTTTTTAAAAAAATCATTCAACTGTAAATGCTTCCCTTTTAGAAAAGACAAATGAAGGGCAGCTCAATAGGGGACAGCACACACACACACACACACACACACACACACACACACACACACCCCCACCAAAAAAACAACACCTTCAGGAAATGACTGTGAAAGAACTAAATTTGTGAAACTCAACAAACTGATGACTAAGTGGGAACATCCTAACAGCCCACAAATATCTACAAGGTGCAAGGCTGGGAAGGAGAGAAATTTTATGATACAAAGGAAGCTCAAACACGGCTAGAGTCTCACGTGAATTTACACTTTGCAAGCCAAATTCTTCCCACATACCAGACACAATGATGATCCATTCTCCTCACACAGATGCCACATATCCGGCAATGCCATGCCCGGGCTGGTCGTACCAGCTGGCACTTGGCACACCAGTCCTCCTTCACCTTGGTGGGGCTTCCAGCCGACACCCTGGAAGAGCCCTTCAGATCATCCTTCAGCGTGCGGTTGTTGAGGCTGCCCGACGTATCTGCGCCGAGGAACCCTTTGGACTTCTCCTGCCCTTTGCTGTTCAGGCACTCAATTTGGCTGCTGCCTAGAGATTTGTCATTGCTTGCTGGATTTCTGAGGTAGCCTGGATTCTTCTTGGCTCTGTACAAGGCTAAGAGGATCAGAAATAACCCGCAGGTAAGAAGGGCCAGCTGAGTGGGCCCCACATGCCCTTTGGGAACCACTTCCTGCAGGAACACATAGTACATGTAGCCCAGAGAGAACAGCCCGAGGCTCAGGAAGAACAGAGTCTGCTCTTTCCTTCTGTGAGTGAGGTAGTAGTACCACAGAGCCAGCACAGGAAGGGAAGTCAAAACCACCACCCCCAGGAGGAAATGCCAGGAAGCCACGCGGAGGAAGACAGGCAGGAGGATGAGAGGGGGAACGATGCTAATGTTAACTTTTTTGGCTCCTCTAAGCCAAGGAATTCGGAGGCGATCGGAGATTGTATCCATGATTCTTTCACAAGTCTCCGGCTGCACGGATTTACACGTAATCCATCTATTCAGAAAGAGCACAAAGAGAAGACGCTTCATATGGGTTTGCTGAATTAGAAACCACTGAGCACTATACACCAGACAGCAGGCTAACTGATAAAAGTGACCAAAGGCCAAGTATTCTACTTCCCGACTACTAAACAGGAGCTTTTAGTACTTATTCCATACAAATACTGTTTAGACTTGGTGGGTATACAGACATAAAAGTCTCAAAAAAATTCAACATCTAGTTATAAAGACAAGATGACATGGAAACTTTGAAATATCAGATGTGACAAAGCAGCAAAATCACTCGATGAACTACTATGGTCAGACATCACAAGGAGTGCTGAGGAAAGTGCACAGTTCCAGGTGGAGTCATCAGAGGGGTCTCTGTTGAAAGGTGGGATCTGTGCTCGACCTTGACAGCTTGCTTGCATTTGTGCACTTGTTCAGGTGGAGAGGAAGGGAGGGAGGCATTCATTCCAGTGGACAGACATGTGTATGGCACAAAATTTGTACTGGGCCCAGGGAGTAAGCCCGTTCAGTAGGGGTAGGGATCTGCATAGGGAAGAATGGAAAGCAAACCAGTATGACTCAAATGATTAAGTTTGGTGGACACATGGTATTCTTGACATTTTTTGTGCACTTAGGCTAGTATGGAAAAGAATAGTTTAAGGAAGGATAACACTGATTTTAGACAATTAAAAAAAGTAGGGCTGGAACTTGAAAGTGGGAGATTACTAGATGAGAGTCATACAGAGCAGTGAGAGTAGACGTGCTGGGAGCCCATCTCCAGAGGAGGGTATGAAGACAGCAGAGGAGAGAACTCACACATAGCTCAGGTCTCAAGGGCTGGCGGGGGAAGGAGAGTTAGGAGGTTAATGGAAGAGCTGCGGTCTTGAGTGAAGGAGATTATGGAAGCAGCATTATTTCTCCACTCATTAGCACAAAGTGCTCCATTTTCTCAGTATGGATTTTAGACTAAGTCTAAAGAACCTATATTTGGAGACACCTGTCAAAAAGACCATAGACACTGTCAAGAAATAATTACAAAGAAGTTATAGGGTATTCAGGTGTCAAGGTTGGTACTAGATCACGGTGGTCCCCAAGAATGCTTTTCATGACTAGATTAACACACCAAGCTCTAAGTCAGCAATTTGCCATAGCAATGACTTTTTTTAAGCAAAATTGTTAGAGGAAAAAGCAAGTTTCCAACATCCTTATTCTTCCTATATTATGCTTTCCGTATGGCAACAATTTTTAAACATATAATTACTTAAAAAATGGATAAAAACCAGGTTATTACTGTTCAATATAAAATTTTTCAGTGATATGTAAAGTTTTCTTTTTAGATAGTAATTTCCATCACTTGGGATAATAGTGAAAATAAAAACCAAATACAATAGCACTGAACAAGACAGTGTTACTGCTCTTGTTGAAAACAACTAGTGAAGGGTAGAGATGTGCTTTCTGGCTGAATTTCTTCCCCAGAAACAACAGAAAAAAAAAATATTTTAACTATCAAGGTCCATTTGTGGCCAGGTGCAGTCCAGTCCCAAGCACTCTCTAAATACTGAGACCACTGAGAATGTGAGAACTTTCTGAAACTAATACGTTCCTTTTAAGCTTACAGATTCTGCTGACATGCATTTTATTTTATTATACATTTAACTTGCCTATTATCCCTTTATTTGCCTGTTCTTCTCCATCACCTTCACCCTTTCGATGAAAAATAATGTCCTAGTAAACCAGGCTGAGTAACTCATCTTTATAGAATCCTCACCCTTGACACAGAAGACAATTCTCAATTTTAGAGCCTTGGAAATAGAATCAAGAGCAAATCTCAGTGTTCTGGACAGCTAAGTTGAACGTATGTATACATGGTAGTTCTCAAAAGTGCCAGGAGGGTCAGCATCAAGAAATACCCTGCTCTTACCTGTCACACCCTTCATCCAGATCTTGGCAATCACACAAACAAGCAGCCACGTGGTTTTTTTCCCCATTTCGATCAATGTACTCGCAGCAGCACAGGGGCTCCAATTCCGGTTCTTCTGCTTTGCTTTTCTTCACTGGCTTCATTCTGCCCTTCTGTGTCATGATTCACACCTGTCACCATGAGGTGTAAGAAGCCCTCGGAGGGTAACGGTGGAAAGAACACAACTCACATCTTGTAAACACATCCACGCCTCTCTCTGATTAACTGCCAACGCCTGAAAAATTAAAAATGAGGAGAGGGTTGTGGGGGGCGCAATTTCCATCAGGCTTTTCTGGCTCGGCACGGCCTGACATGGAGCTCTAGGGGTTTCAAAGTCGCTTTCACCACCCCTTCCCAACCAGGACAAGCTCCGTCTGGGCACCAGCCGTTACCATAGCGACAGCCAACCACGCCGCCGGGGACTGCCGGGACGCGGGTGGCTACGCGCACCTGCAGGTGCGGGGTAGGAAGGGCCGAGTGGTCCCCACCCGCACCTGGGCGCGAGCAGTAAGTCACCCTCGGGGCTGCGGACAGAGAGGCGCCAGGTTTCCGCTGGGGCCGCCGCACGCTCCCGCCGGCAGGGGCCGGAGCCCCAGATCCGGAGAGGCCCGCGGGGCCGGAGCAGCGCTCGGAGTCGCCGTCCAGCTCCGCTTCTCCAGCCACGCACAGGGCGCCCCTCTCCCGCCCCCGCCAATCGTAAGGACGTGGGCGAGACGCGAGCGCCGCCACGCCCGAAGAATGACCTTGGAAGGGAAGTTACCTGCGCGCGGGGGCCGAGGTGCGGCAGCAGCCAAGAAAGCTGAAGCGGAGAGAAAGGTCGGCTCCTCCGGGGGCGCGGAAGCGTCCCGGCTCTCGGCGCTCCCGGCCTGA